TCATTCTGGTAAGGAGTCCTGAAGGAGCTGGAAGCTGGTGTTCCCTCTGCTCACCAGGCAGGTGTGCCACAGGGAAGGAAGAGTTGGACTGCAGGGCGGAGGGAGTTGCGGTGGGAGAGCTGGCTGGAGAGACAGCCTGTAGCCTCCAAACAGTGTGTGGGGGCCAGTGCTGCTGTCTGGCTTGTGCCACCCTGCTCCTTTTCCTGTGCTTATGATTCCCTGCTGGTGCTTTGGGGCCACTTCTTATTGCCCACTGCATCGAAGCAGGGTGTGGAGGTCAATGTGGGAACTGGTCTGTGCTGCTGACAGCAGCTTGTGGGCCTGGAGGCAGGTTTGGCTCCTGGAGGCACTCGCCCCAGAGCATCTGTAAGCCTAGCATCTCTGAGGCTCAGGCTTGGCTGTCAGTGTTCAGGAGGGTGCGTACAGATCTCTGAACTGAACATGCTATTAGTCATCTGCAGGATGGGGGGGGGCACGCGAAGGATGGAAGTGCTGGCTCATGGCTCCTACGGGCTCTCTACCATCCTGCTCCAGCCCCTGTTCCCATTCCAGGTCAGCACAGTGCGGATGCAAGGTGTGATCCTACTGGTGTTTGCCAAGTACTACCACCTGCCCTTCCTGCAGGACATCCAGACAGATTGCACCAGGACAGGGCTAGGGGGCTACTGGGTGAGTGTGGCCCTGGGGGAAGGTGGCAAGGGGCTGGCTTCCCAAGGAGTCATGGGATCCTCTCGGTGCAGGGCAACAAGGGTGGGGTGAGTGTTCGTCTCTCCATCTTCGGCCACATGGTCTGCTTCCTGAACTGCCACCTGCCAGCACACCTGGAGAAGGCGGAGCAGCGCAAGGAGGACTTTGCCACCATACTGCACATGCAGCAGTTTGAGGGGCGTGTGGCCAATGGCATCCTGGACCATGAGTGCGTACCCTGCGACTTTGCTCCCCAGTCTGGGCTCTAGTGTCAGCCCCAGTCCTTGACCTGCCCTCCGTATAGGGTCTGACCTCTGCATCACAGCACAGCTTGGAGGTCAGGTCTTGCCTGCAGAACTGCAGAATTTTCCCATGGCCTAGTGGGAACTCAGCATGCTGGGATAGGTGTTTAGAGGGGTCTTTGGTCTCCCGTAAGGCACATTCAGGCCTGGTGCAGCTCCTGTGGTACTAGCCCAGTTGCGGTTTGGGACTGGTGAGTTGGAGGGCCCAGCTCTGCACAGCCTTTGTGGTCTGACTCTGGTGGGTGCCTCACTGTGGAAATTTCCACCCTTGGTTTCAGCTCAGGGCAGTCTGTCTGGCTTGGTTAATGGTGCCTAGTCCCACCTTGCAGAATCCTGGCAGTTGGCCAGGCTGCTGGCTCAGTGCTGACCTGTGCCAGTGTTCCCAAGAGCACCTGTGCTGTGAGCTGAGGCTGCACGCAGGCTGGGGACATTTTTTCCTCTGCTGTCCCCAGCTCCAATAGCCTCAGCCCTTTCAGCCTGTTGTCCTCCCTCCCACAGCCTGGTGTTCTGGTTTGGGGACCTCAATTTCCGCATCGAGAGCCTGGACATCTGCTTTGTGAAGTATGCCATCGACAGCAACGTTCTGAGCCAGCTCTGGGAGAAGGACCAGGTGAGGGATGGGCATGTTCCAGATTCCACTGGGCCCTGAGCAGTGGTTGACTCTCCCCAAAACTGCCTGTGCAGCTGTGGGACAGGACATGTTCCCTTGGAGCCCATAGGGTATGAGGAGCTCTGGCTCTCTTGTCTCTGTGGGGAAGGGGCAGCAGAGTCCCTGGTCAGACTGAGCTGGGCACATGCTTCCCTTATCAGTGTGAGGAAGACCCAAGGCCCTGGGTCTACAAACTGGCTGCTGCAATAGAGGGACAAACCCTGAGAGTTGTGGGAGCTGGCAGGAATGGGGCAGGGATGTGATTGTGTGTGAGAGCAGAGAAATCTTGGTCTGGCTGTGGGGGCTAGTGTGCTTCTTTACCTCCTCTTCCCCACAGTTGAACATTGCCAAAAGCACCTGGCCTGTTCTCAGAGGGTTTCAGGAGGGACCCCTGAACTTCCCACCCACCTTTAAGTTTGATGTTGGCACCAACAAGTACGACAGCAGGTAGGAGAGCAGAGCTGGGCCTGAGCTGGGGGAGAGGGATGGAGGAGCAGTGAGGCTCAGGACCAGAGCGGATGCTTGTGCGGATGGGTGGGGGGAGCAGTCATGCTGAGGCAGGCATGGGCTGGACTGGGACATGACTGCAGTGCTGGTGCCAGTGCATCTCACCCTGCAGCCACATCGAGCTGAGTGGTGAGATGAGCTGCACCCCCTGCCCACACATGCTGTAGTGCCAGGGGGAGGCAGTTTGGGTCAGAGCCCAGTGCCCCTGCCAGGCAAGAGATGCCCCTCTGTGCCCTGTAGTGCCAAGAAGCGAAAACCTGCCTGGACCGACCGCATCTTGTGGAAGATTAAATCTCCCAGCACAGGGCTGGGGGCAGGCAAGCGCCGGCCCAGCCAGGGCGTGCTGTCGGTGAGCCAGCTCTGCTACTGCAGCCACATGGAGTACACTGTCAGCGACCACAAGCCAGTAGCTGCCATCTTTGCTGTGCAGGTGAGCACTGTCCAGGGCTGCTGGGAACGCAGGCAGGATCTGCAGGGGTGGGATGCCCAGCTTGTGTGTGGGAGATGTACTTTACTTCTGTTTGGCAAACTTGGCTGCCTTGCCCCTGGCTGGGGACTGCTGTGGGTGTATGCACAGGAGCCCAGACCCAGAGAGGTGCCACTGGGCAACAGGGGCAGCTCTTTGCCATGCCCTTGCTTACTGTGTACCTGTCTCTGACAGTTTGCTTCCAAGGTGGACAAGCCCCCGGTTGAGATTTATGTGGCTGACGAGTGGAGCAGGCCTGAGCAAGCAGTTGTCAGGTACAAGATGGCTGTTGGCTTCCACCGGAGCTCCTGGGACTGGATAGGACTCTACCGGGTAGGGGCTTGGGGGCTGCTGGGGCTGGAGGGAGTGGGGAGCACTGCACAGCACTGCGAGGGTCCCTTCTGAGCTACCCCCCAACAACGAGCATGGGTGCATGGTGTGGAGCTGTGCTCTCCCTTCCCCTGGCAGCATGATGTGGCCCTGCTTCAGGAGGCTCAAGTCCAGCAGTTCCCTCTTACTCCCTGTTCTGCAGGCCCCACAGGGCCCTGGTACACCCGGGGGGTGCGAGGCAGCTCTGGGTCTTGCTGTGTAAGCAGAGAGTGAAGGCCAGGCATGGATGATGGTGCCAAGTGGGGCTGATGTTCCCCCACTCACTTATGTTCTCCTATATAACACAGGTAGGCTTCCGGCACCCTAAAGACTATGTGTCTTACGTCTGGGCCAGGAGCGATGATGGGGAGCGCTGCCTGGAGAAGCAGCTCTGTGCACAGGTGAGCTGGGGCCAGCCCTGCTGGCACGTCTGCCTCACTGTGGGGGAACAATGGCCTCTTTGTGCCCCTGGATGGGGGTGGAGAGCACCTTATTGCTTTGTACTCAGCCTCAGGCAGCAAAGATTTGTGTTTTTGTCTGGGGCTGGAGGTGGGAAGGGGCACCCCCCGTGCCCAGCCCTAGTGTCCACCAGGTGTCTCTGGGCTGCAGGTGATGTTCTCTGAGGAAGCGCTGCCCAAGGGGAACGGAGAGTACATCCTTGGATACTACAGCAACACTTCCAGCAGCATTGCTGGTGTGACTGAGCCCTTCCAGGTGAGCACAGCTAAGAGATGCAGGTGAGGGGGTGGGGGTTCCTGGCCGGGGGAGGCCAGCTGCTGTGATATCCCACAGCCCCCCGTGAGGGTCAGCCAGCAGTGCTGATGCAGGGGTGCAGATCTCCCTCCCCAGGTCAGAGGAGGGCAGCAGCCCCACGGACAGCTCAGGCAGCAGCTCAGAAGAGGATGACAGTACACTTGTCCTGTTGGCCCCCAAATCCCGTAGCCCCAGCCCGAGCAAGATGAAACGTCACCGGAGCCGAAGCCCCAGCCTGGCCAAATTCCAGGGCCTCATCCTGCGGCCATCAAGCCGGGACAGGGGAACGAGCCGCAGCCCCTCTCCCCAGAGCCGCCATGGCCTCCCCAGGGATATCCCCACCATTCATGTACCCCACGAGGAGCTGGGATGCTGTGCAGCCAAAGGCAAGGAGCTGAGGAAGGCAGCTGACAGCCTGGAGGGCAGCTCTTTCTACCAGACTGTACAGGAGCAGGGTCATCCACAGAGTGTCTCCACTGACAGCCCGCTGGCCAGGGCTGACCCCCGGAACCTGGGCCTGCTGCCTGCACTCCGCCTGGAGATGATTGACAAGGCCATGGGCTGGCAGCGAGAGAATGTGGATCAGGGCTATTATCCCTGCCGGAGGATGAGCCCCACCAGCCCCCCAGGCTGTGGCACCTCCCCAAAAGAGGGCTGCAGCCCCCAGGAACTGGACAGCCATAGCTGTGCCATGGGCCGCTGATGCAGTGGTCTCTTCCCTCCTCCCCATAGCGCGCTCGCTGTGTGCTTTCCTCTGCCCCTTTCCTGCTAAGACAACTCCTCCTTATTTATTGTAGTGACTCCTCACCCCTGTTGTGTGCCTGGCAGGAGGGGTATTTCCCTCTGCTCCCCTCAGCCCAAGCTGCTCCCCAGGGCAGGGCTGGGAGATGACCCAGGGGGAGAGTGGGGACAGCTGGTCTAGTGCAGTTTGGGAAGACCCTTCATGAACTTCCAAGCGCAGGATTCCTCAGTCTCATGACAGGAGTGCTGGCCTTGCACCCAACGTGGCAGGGGAGGCCAAGGCAGGGCTCTGGCAAGAATGGTGATGGGCACAGAGTGAGGACCGTCCCATGGTAAACCAGAGATCAAAGCTTGCTCCTTCCCTGCTCTACCATTGTGCCTCAGCCTGGACATAGTGCAAGCAACAAAATAAAAGATCCTGCCCACCCCAGCTGCACTGTGGTCACTGCCAGAGGGCAGGATCAGCCCTGGGGAGGGGGAGGCTGCAGCATGAACAGGGAGTAGAAGGTTCAGCCCTGGCACCATATACCATACTCTGACCATTCTTTATTTATCTTCTGCTGCATGCAGGGACTGACCCCAGCCCTCCTACTGTGCCTGGGCAAGGGGGTTAGGATCACACCTCACTGCTCAGGCTCCCCAGTTGAAGAGTCACAATTATAGGGGTGGGGGGCCCCGCCATCCCCCTGGCCCCAGAGTGCAACAGGGAAGAGGATGGGTTTCCCCTTTCCTGAGCCCTCCTATTTCCTGCCCCTTGCTTTGATGCTGGTGGATGGCAGCCACAGCTCCTTGAGTCTTCTCAGTCCCTCTGCCTGCTCTGGCTGTGGTCCCCAGCTCCATGCAGTCATGCTCAGTGCTATCCTTTGTCTCAAGGACCAGAAACCAAGCAGCTCCAGCCTGTAGCTACTGCACAGCACATCTTCCTCCCCTTCCTTCCCAAGGCAGCACTGCTCAGGCATCATCAGGGCACTGTGTGGGGCTGAGCACCTGGCATGTGCATCATGGCCAGGTACTGGCACTGCTCACAGAGGGTGCCTCCCCGGGCCTGTGTCTTCCAGTCTGGATGCTTGGTCTTGGAGCTCACATGAGGAGGGTCCCAATGCCTCAGGGTCTTTTTGAGCCGCTTTGCAGGTAAAAGCGCAGCCCTGGTCACTGTGGTACAGCTGCTGGAGAAGGAAAGCTGGGCATGTCAGTGTAACCCTGCAGCACTGACAGCCACTACCTGCCCTTGCAGCCTGCTCATGGCATGGCACAGCAGGGGCCAGTACTTACACTTAATGCCCCACTCAGGCCACAGCCCCTTGATTCTCTGCACTTACCTGTCCTGTGCCCCCCTGCCTGGGCTGCAGGCAGCAAGCTGCTCCAGAACAAAGCATTCTGTGGCGATGTAGTTAGCCAGGACAGCTACCTCCATGTCACTGCAGTTCCTCATCCTGCGCAGGCACTGCGCCAGCCTGCAGGCACAGGAGGGCCATGGTTAGCAGGGGCTGGCCAAGGCAGACATCCCACCTCCTCTGTCTGCACCCAGTGCCCTTTTCCTCCTGGACACACACCTGCGGGTGCAGTTGCAGTGGAGGAGTGTCTGGCTGTTCACGTTGTGCAGCTGGTACCTCACCTCGTGGGGTGCGATCTGGTGCTCACACTTACCTAGGTGCTTGTAGCACCTGCACACCCTGCCTGGGCCTGAGGACAGTGGGGAGGTGAAGGGCACCCCCAGCACATGACCCCACTAGGCTGAGGCCTTGAGACACCCCAGCTGTGGTGCATGCTCTGCCCATGGCACCAGCTCACCCTGCTGCCCACGCTCCTCCACAGCAGGCACTGGGGTGGGCCCACTCCATGCTGTGGTTGGGCTGGGTCTCTCGCTGCCATCCCAAGGGCGGGCTGAGCCCCCAGCTCCTTGCTCTGCTCCTCCCAGTGTGCTCCTTGCTCCAGCTGGATCCTGTCCCAACGTGATCAGTGCTGTTGGGGGGCCCGGCTTCAGCCCTTGTTGCGCAGCTTGGTGCCTGGCTGCGGGCTCAGCCTTGTCCCTGGCCAATGCAAGGATATGTGGACCCTGCTGGGCTGTCTCAGGTTTCCGTGCCTGGCGGCGCCCCAGCTTTAGCCCCAGTTCCTGTCGGAGCCGCTTGCGCCCTGCTCTAAAGGAATTCCTTCCCTTACCCGGGGGCCGTGCAGCAGAGCTGTCTCTCCTCTGCGGGCAGGATGGGGTGGTACTGACTCTGCTGCAGCATCCTGGCCAGGGGCACTACACCATAACGCTCACACCTGGGGACACCACATGCTGTGACGCCCTGCACACCAGCCCAGCCAAGCCATGCCCGGTGGGGCAGCCGGGCAGGGTGCACTGAGAGTGGGGCCACCCCCAGGCACTCACCCGCCCCACCAGTGCCACTGGACGCACTCCCTGCTTTCTTCTAGCACGAAGCACGGCACCTCTAGCAGGTTGAAGAAGGTGACGCCGATGATGTTGGAGACGGTGTCGTTGACGGCGAGCAGGCACTGCCGGAACCTGCAGGCAGGGACCGGTGAGCAGGGCTGTTTTCCCCAGCCCTCCCGGTGCACCTCCCCTGGCCCTGGGCGCACCTGGCGTCGCAGTCGCAGTGAGACACGGTGTGAAGGCGGTAGTTGCGGATGCCGTAGTTGAACTGCAGCGCCGTGATCTGCGCCCAGCACTGGTCGTGCTCCCGGCAGCACTGATCGGGGCCGCGGAACAGCCCTGAGGAGGCGCCGGTGAGCGCGGCCCGGCGGAGGCAGCCCGGGCGCCCGCGCCGCCCCCCGCCGCCCCGTACCCAGCTCGCTCCAGTTCCCTGCCGAGTCCCCGGCGCCGCACCACAACGTGCCTGGCAGCGTCCAGCCTCGGCGGTGGCGTTGGCGTTGGTCTCCCACCTTTACGGGGTCGGTGCAGGCGGCGCGGCGCCGCCACAGAGCGGAAAGGGCCCGGCGCAGCGCGGCCCCGGGCGCGGCGGGCGGACGGCGCGCGCAAGAGGCGCGGAAGGCGCGGGTGAGGCGCGGGTCGCGGCGGGCCCAGCAGGCGCGGAGGCGGCCGGGGGCGGCCCAGGCGCTCTCGACCAGCGCGGGCCCGGGCCCGGTGCCGGTGCCCAGGAACGCCACGTAGCGCGCGCCGCCCGCACCCGCCGCCTCCCGCGCGCACACGGCCCCGCTGGGCCAGGCGTGCGCACATGCGCACAGCGCGGCACAAACCGCAGCCACGCGCGACCACATCTCGCGCGCCCCCCCCGGCCTGCGCCCCGCTTTAACCCCTCGCGCGGGGCGGGCACGGCGCTGATTGGCCCGCGCCGAGTAGGCCCCGCCCCACCCCGGGAAAGGCGGTGGGAGCGGCCGCGCCGCCACCTGCGGATCGCGGGTGCCGCTCTGACGCCGGGCACCCCTCATCACCGGCACCCCTCGACCCCGGGCACCCCTCATCGCAGGCACCCCCTATCGCAGGCACCCCCCATCGCAGGCACCCCCCATCGCAGGCACCCCCCATCGCAGGCAGCCCCGACGGCGGGCAGATCCCCCCCCCAGTCGCGGGCGCACTCCCATCGCGGCTACCACCCCCATCTAGGGAACTCTCCTGTCCCGTTGGCCCCCATCCCACGCAGCTCCTGCTACAGGCACCCCCACCCCATGCGCACTCTCCTTGGCACCCATACATGTGTCCTCACTTGCGTGACTGGACACAGGTGTGTGTGCACACGTGTACACGTGCACATTGTGTGCGTGCCTGTGCACTGTGCGTGCCCAGTCGCATGCACCCACGTGGGCTGTAAGCATGCCCCTACCCATGGGAGCTGATGCAGTCAAGACACAGACCACTGTCCTGCCCGGCTCCTGTGGAAGGTGCCCATGGCCCAAGACTGCTCTGAGGCTTGAGGATGGAGCCTCCACAGCTTCCCTGGGCACCCCCTGCTACTGCCTGACCTTCACAACACGAAGTTGTTTTCTGATGTTCAAAGGAACGTCCCATGTCCTAGTTTGTGCTCATTGCACTTTATCCCCGCACTGGGCACCACTGGGAAGAGATGAATTGTGGTCTATTTGCACCCTGCCTGCCTGTGTGTTAACAGGATTCCCTAAACTTCTTCTGCTCCAGACTTAGTAGCCACAGGACAGGTGTTCCAGTTCTTCCACCATGGCTGGACTCACCCCAGCATATCTGTGCCTTGTCTGCGTGATCCCAGCTGGAACAGCACAGCCTCCTGCTGGTGCTCACTGCCTGGCTCTGCCTAGTGCAACTGGGGCTGCTGCCATGAGGACACATCCCTGGCTCCTGCTCAGCTGGTGCCCAGCAGGATCCCAAGGTCCATCCCTGCAGAACTGCTTTCCAACTGCTGGCCCAACCTATGCTGTACAATATGCACCTGGGAACTGGGATCTCTCTCCCCTGGAAATACCGCAGGAGGGTAGCTGGGGTGTGGGACAGATCTCAGCATGGCCAGTGGGTCTGGAAACCCCCATCCCACTGCATCACTGCTGTATCCCAGAGGGATGCCAGCCCTGCTCTGGAGAATTGGCCCACTGGAGTCCAGCTGCACCTCTCTCTGCCAAAAGGGAACTGAGAAGGGGCTGGAAAGAAAATGACAAAAGGAAGGATGGAAGGATGGAAGCAAACAAGGAAGGACCACCATGATTCCACTGGTATGGCTCTTCCTTCCAGGGGCAGCCTGGGGTCATGTCCATGTCCAGGCTGATGCTCTGCACTTCTGGGGTTCTCCAGGCCAGGGGGTCGGGAGGGGCAGTTTGTGGAGCCTCCTAAGCCCTAACCCAGGGACACCAGGAGCTGATGGATAGGGCTCAGCAATGGAGGCTTATCTCACCTTATCAGGATTTCCCTGACAGCATGCACTGCAGAGGGCAGAGTCCACCCTGTGGTAGTGATAGGGTTACCCTGTGCCACCCATGATGTTGCTCCAGGTGTCTCAAAGGTCTCCCATGTCCCGTGGAAGGATGTTTCCACCTCAGGGGCTTTTTTCACTAAGCTGGATGAGAGCTAGCAGGATGGGGGCTGGCATGCCAGCACTTGGGAAGGGCTCTGCTCAGGAGTACCCCAGCCCCAAGAGGACCATCTTTCCACCAGCCCACGGGGATCTACATTGAGATGCAGATCTACCACAGGGATTTGCCACACTGTACTGTGCTCCTGTCCTGTCCCCTGCACCTCTAGTGGTTCTAGGGGTTCCCTGTGTGTGAGTTGGGCCCCCTCATCTCCAGCACCCCTGAGACTGCCCCATGCCTGGGTTGTATTCACAACTCCATGGGACCCCATGGGGAGGGCTCTATGGGGCAGCACGGTGCAGCCTTGGCTGCTAAATGTGTGAGTGTGTCAGGGACTCAGGACCCAGTTTGGGTTTGTCTGGAAGATAACAGGGGATAAGCAGGGATCCCTGGTGCTCTGACCTTCACTGCCCAGGCAACCAGTGGGGAACAGGGCTGGCTTCCTGCCACAGAACTCCCCACTATGTAACCATGAGGCTACTGCCCTGCTGCTTGCTGCTGGTGTGAGGCTGGTGGCCTAGACGGACACCTGGGGCATGGGTCTCAGCCCTGGGCTACCCACCCCATTGGGCAGCACTACCAGCCCTGCACCCAACTACACTGACAGGGCTCAAGGCTGCAGACAAGGCCAGCATGGGACTGAGCTGCCAAGGGCTCAGGGCACTGCTGAGCCTGCAGCATGGGAGCAGTGAGCTCTGACAGAGATGCCCACAACCACAGTCTGTGTGGCAAGGGTGGCCAGCAGATCCCAGGCTGGGTCAGCAGGAGTGCAGGAATGGGCTGATGAAGCAATTCTTCCCCCCAGTTCTCTGCATACCATGTTCCATTTGGGGCTCCCCAGAACAAGAAAGATTCCATACTGGAGTGAGGCCAGTGGAGGCTGCTGAGCTGGTCAGGACTTGAACTGACTTTGGCTGAATTAGAGGAGAAGTGGGACTTCATCTGCCCTGAACTCTGATTCATGGCAGGGCTTGTTCCTTCTCCTTTTGCACCCCTTAGACCAGCACGGGCACCAGGGTGATGCCTCACATGGGGACATCCTGCAGGCAGGGGCTGGATGTCCAGACTGTGTGAGTGGCTGCCAGACCTAGGGCCTCATCCATGTCTCAGTGCTGACACACCCTTTGCTGTCTGCGTGTCCAGCCTTGCCCTTTGCCCCAGTCAGCTGGCAGTGCTGGCTCCCCACTGTGTGTGTACTGTGCATGGTCTGCTGGCCACATCCTGCTTATGTCCCCATGCAGAGCCCCACATGTCCCCAACCAGGTCTGGCATGTAAACAGCAGTGGCTCAAGGACAACCATGGGACACTGTCCTTCATGTGGGGCTTGCAGGATGGTATTACATAAGGAATTGCTGCAGCACTGGATAAAAACCTCTCTGCTTTTCACTGCTCTAAGCTGGAACTTACAGCTTTGTGGAAGGAAAGAGGAACATGTGTCCATCCTGAGCAGTAGGGCATCCAGGGCATCCACAGCTCTGGACATAGAAGGAAGAGCAGGGAAAAAACTTCATGTGAAGGAATATCTTGAGAAGGTTGGAAGCCAAAATAAGAGTTGGAATGAGCAAAGGGATGGTGCAGGTATTTCACACCTGAGCTGAGGTTCAAGCAGCTTGCAGACCCAGGGGAGACCTCTGAGGACTCCTGTGCACTCTGCCATGCATCCATAAGTCCCTCCATGGGACTTATGTCCCTACTGGACATGACAGGTTGGCAGTTCCCAAGCTGGCAGCCAAAACATCCTCCACCTGGGTGCCCCCTTGTCCTTCACCTGTCTCTGCCTAGGAGAGCCTGGGTCCACAGGACCAAGGTTCCCCAACTGGTTCCCCTCCTTTGGGCACCAAGCCCCTGTACCAGGGCTGCTCTGTCACACTTGTGTGGGCACCCTCAGCACACAAAAGCCAGAGGTGTCTCAGCCTGCTGCATCAGGCTGCTCAGGCTTTCCATCAGCTGGTGCACTGGGATGTGGTAGGAGTCAGGCTATTTTGCTGCTTTCGTGGCATCTCTCTGCTCCCTGGCTACCCCATGGGATCAGAGGCCAGAGCAGTGAGCTCAGCTTACCCATGGTCTGCAGGCCTGGCTCTAGGGGAGAGCACTGTTTCAGGCTGGGGTGTCACTAGTGCCCATGGGTTCTCAGTCCACCCTGGGCAAGGACAGCTCATGTGTCTGGCCCCAAGCCCTGAGGAGGCTGTGCTGGGATCACCATGTACCATAAGCCTAGAGTCCCTTAAGGAAAGGACCATCCCCCTAGGATATATTGTCTAATACAGGCTTATGGGTGAAGGGCCTAAAGAGGCAGAATTTTCTTCTTCTCAGTGCAGCAGCAGAGCTGGCTCTATCATCTATTTTCAGTGCAAGTTTGGGCTGCAGAGGTGATGGGGATGATCAGGCTCTGTGGACATCTATGTGTCCTGCAGTTCACAGGAGGTGTCTCCTGCCCTGGGTTCTCAGCTAGGGCTGCAGCCTCCTCAAGGCCTTTTCCAGGGTCAAAGAGCACCCTGAAGGCCCTGGGCAACTGGGTCTGGGTGACCCTGCCTGAACCAGGGAGTAGATGACCTCCACCCTCAGCAAGGTGGTGTGCCAGGGTTCTGGAGCGGTTTCCAGCAAAAAATAACCATCCTTGCCTATAGGAAAATAGAGAAAGCCCCAAGACAGCAAGAAACTGAAGACGAAAACCACCCCAAAACCACCTCAAGAGGTTTCTAGTAAGAGGTCAGATACTGATGGTAGGGGAAAATTCTGACCATTTTCTGTTTTCCCTTAGCCTCTAGGCAATTCTCTGCACCACTGTGAACTTGTGAGCACCTGGTTTTACTGCCTCGGTGAACACCTCCCTTTAAATTATGGGAACTACCCAGGGGAAACAGCTCTGCAAGGAGGAGTGGTTACCTAACTGGTATGTATTGCTGCACTCCAGATGAAGGTCAGGCAAGTCATGAATCAGCAGAAACTGGGTTAACCACAAGCAGAAGGAGCAGAAGCAGCTCAGAGCAGGGACCCACTTGCCAGAGTGTGTGGGGGCATGGCAGGATCTGTGGGCTGGCACACTGGGAAGATGAAAGGTCACGGGGTTGAGGCATTTCTGGAAAGCACAGTCTCCTTTTTTTCAGTGTTCAAGGAAAACTGTGGGCTGGTACTTTCATCTCTTTGGAAATGGGATGAAGGGACCAAAGCATCTTGACAAGAGAAAAAATTCTTGCATGCTTCAGGCTTGCCTCCTGTTGTG